AGCACATAAATCAAACACATTAAATACTTGAAACCAGAAACAAACCTGAAGATTTGGCGTGATTATGTATTCACTCTGCCACATATAAAAATACTTTGTTGTTTCCTAGTGTAGTTACTGAATAGGATGCCTTTAAAATGCAAGATTACTTTTGTAAGCTTTGAAAAGTAGTGTTACTGAGAACACTTGACACTGTGTGCACTGTTGTCTTGAGAATCAGCTCTGACCACTGCATGGGGATGTCTCTTTGTTTTCATTTCTAACAAGTTCTTTGCTCCATTGAGTGTTGTTCTACACTCAACACAGCCTTCTGCATGTGGGCAGTTTTAGCTCTTATTATGTTATAACTTTACTTTAGCTATTGCTAAGGAAAATGTCTATTTTTCTGACTCCCTAGGCTAATGGCCTTTCCAACATAATATGAAGGTGATTCATGAATTGTTATCAAGGTACTTTTATAAGAATTGTAGGGGTGATTAAAATTTAAGGGATGCAGCAAAGGCAGTGCTCAGTGGGAAATTATAGCTATAAATCCAATACATATCTAAAAAAAAGACCTAAATATCCTAACTTTAGACCTTGAGGAACTAGGAAAAAAACTATATTTTAAAAATTTCAAAGCTAGCAGAAGGAATGAAATCATAAAGATTAAAGCTGAGATAAGTAGGGCGCCTGGGTGGCTCAGTTGTTAAGCGTCTGCCTTCGGCTCAGGTCATGATCCCAGGGTCCTGGGATCAAGTCCCACACTGGACTCTCTGCTCTGCGGGGAGCCTGCTTCTCCCTCTCCCACTCCCCCTGCTTGTGTTCCTGCTCTCGCTATGTCTCTCTCTGTCAAATAAATAAAAAAAAAAGCTGAGATAAATAAAATAGAGAATAGAATAACAGTAGTGAGAACTGACAAAACCACAAGTTGTTTCTTTGAAAAAGATCAAAGACCTTTTACTAGACTGACAAAGAATAAAAGAAAGTGGAGACATTACCACCAATCATACAGAAATAAAAAGGATTGCAAGAGAATACTCAGAGGGTGCAGAAAAACCCTTTGACAAAATCCAGCATCCTTTCATGATAAAAACACTCAGAAAACTGGGAATACATGGGAACTTATTCAACATGAAAAAGGGCATTTGTAAAAGACCCACAGCTAACTTCATTCTCAATGATGAAACACTGCAAGTTTCCCCACTAAGACAGAACATGACAAGGATTCCTGCTCTATGGACTACATGTATCCCTCCAAAATTCATACGCTGAAGCCCTTCTCCTCTATATGATCGTATCAGAGATGGGGACTTTGGGAGGTAAGTAGGTTCAGATGAGATCATTAGGGTAGAGTCCTCACGATGGGATTAGTATCCTTATGAGAAGGACCAGAGAGCTAGCTGCAAACCAGGGAGAGGGTTCTCATCAGAAGCTGTCTGAGCTGTCACTCTGGTCTCAGACTTCCAGACTCTACAAACCGTGAGAAATAAATGTTTAAGTTGTGCAGTCTTTGGTGTTTTGTTATAGCAGCCCGAGTTGACTAAGACACCCACTTTCACCACTGCTGTTCACTACTCTACTGGAAGTTCTGTTGAGTGCAATTAGACAAGAAGCAGAAGTAAAAGGATCCAAATTGGAAAGGAAGAAATAAAACTATCTCCCATCGCAAATGACATGATCCTATATACAGAAAATCCCAAGGAATCCACAAGAAAGCTGCTAGAGCTGATAAATTCAGCAAAGTTGCAGGCTACAGATCAACACAAAAATAAGTCATGTTTCTATACCCCCGCAGTGAACAATCTGAAAGGAAATTAAGAAAGCAATTCTATTTACTATAGCATTTAAAAGAATAAAATGCCCAGGAATAAATTTGACCAGTGAGGTTAAAGACTTGTACATTGAAAACTACAAATGGCTAAATTAAAGAAGATCTAAAAAAAAGAAATCTAGGGGCACCTGGGTGGCTCGGTCGTTAAGTGTCTGCCTTCGGCTCAGGTCATGATCCTAGGGTCCTGGGATCGAGCCCCGCATCGGGCTCCCCGCTTTGCGGGAAGCCTGCTTCTCCTTCTCCCACTCCCCCTGCTTGTGTTCCCTCTCTCACTGTCTCTCTCTCTGTCAAATAAATAAAATCTTTAAAAAATCTAAGTAAATGGAAATATATCTCATGTTCATCGACAGGGAAGAGTAAATATTAAGATGTCAGTGCTACCCAAAGTGATTTACAGATTCAGTGCAATCCCTACCAAAATTCCAATAGCCTTTTTTTTTTCCAGAAATAGAAACCTGATCTTCAGATTCATATGAAATTGTGAGGGATCCCAAATAGCAAAAACAATCTTTAAAAAGAAGAATAAAGTTGGAGGGCTCATGTTTCTCAATTTCAAAACTTACTACAAAACTACAGTAATCAGAACAGTGAGGCACTGGCCTAAGGATAGGTATATAGACCAATGGAATAAAATTGAGAGTTCAGAAATAAACTCATACATCTCTGGACAATTGAGCTTTGAGAAGGGTGCCAAGTCCATTTCATGGGGGAAAGAATAGTCTCTTCCACAAATGGTGCTGGGCCAACTAGATTTCCACATGTGAAAGAATGAGGTTGGACCCCTATCTCACACCATGTACAAAAATTAACTGAAAGTGGATCGACCTACACTTTTCCAAGCATAAATTCTTTTTCAAAATCAGAAAGGGTAATGAAAGTGAAAATTATTGTAGAAGAGTAGAGTTCTTTGAGAACAATGCATTTTTTTGTGTGTATTCACTCTACAAATATTTGTTAAGCAAAAGTAATGTGACAGTACTCCACTTCAAGGCACTTGGAGATACATTAGTGAACAAAACCAAACTTGTTCCCAGCTTTAAGAAAACTTCTAGTCTAGAGGGGGAGTAGACATTAATAAAATAATTCCAATAGTGATATGTGGTGTGCAAGAAAGTGTATGTGCTATGAGGGCCTGCTCTTGGGGAGGACTTCCTTGAAGAGGGGGAGTTGGGCTGAGACGAAGGATGAGTAGGCATTAATTGCGTCCAGACAGAACAAGAGAGCATAGTTAGCTCTGAAGGTGTTCAGGGTGTTTGGTTGTGTTTCCACAGATGTGCATTTCACTTCATCTTTTGTTCCTCACCCATTCGCTACAGTGCAGAGTAGCTGTTTTCTGTCTGTATGTTCCATCTCTTTCCAGAATGCATACAACATTATTTAACAAATGGGCATTCACTGTGATAGAAAGTATTTGGGTCTGTGAGGGGTTAAATTGGTTTTAAGGTAAAAAATTCTGAGGCAGTTAGGAGTTTTCCCTGTTTAAATTTTTAAAGAAAATTTATCTTATTTTTAACCTCCAATGATTAAATAATGACATTATTAGGTGGCTACTTTTAGATAAAGTATGATAAGTAATGCCTTCTTCATAAATTACGCTTTTCGAATCTGTTTATATTTTGATTTAAATAGGAAGTTTTTTTCCCTGTAATTTAAGACCTCATTTTGAATGGAAGTGATTTGAATGGCTTATGTAATTTCTGCCAAGGAATTAATATGGACTTTCTATAAACCACTGTCATTTATAATCAAAATGCTTTTAACTTACATTGATGTTGGCATTAACAAGTACTGCTAGATTGGTAGCATAGAAAGAAATTGCATTTAAACTTACTAAGAACTCATTGATTCCTGAGGTTTTATAATGCTTTCTGTGGACCATTTAACTGCTGGCAACTTTAATTCACATGATTCATAATACTAGAAATTTAAATTCAGTCTTAATTGAAAAGTGAAGTTACTGAAATTCTTTAAATACTAACCTTTGGGAAAATATCTGAAAAATAAAAGACACATATGATTTTAATGGCCCACTGCCAAAAGATTATCATTTACATAAATATCTCTTTCAGTAGAAGAGCTTAATGTATTGAGCTCAAAAGGTTAGAATCGAGACTTCAATCTGGAAACCAGCAGTAGACTGTTGGCTTGTGAACAGCAGTATTGTTCGTCATATTGAGAACACTGTTCACATTCAAGTTTAAGCAGAGCTGGCATTAAAATTCAGTTAATTTGTTTCATGTGATTTGTCAGCTGTGTGTTTTTATCTAAATCTTTCTAGCTTCTCAGTATTTTATGTTAAACTTCTGAAACAGATGAACCACCTTTTTAACTGTTTAAGCTCTGAAATTTTGGCCACTTTGGCAAATGATTCTTTGTAATCGTTCTCCAGGTTTTTCATATCATTTAAACTATATTAATAATCAGTTTGAATGCCATTTTAATTTATTAAGTAATCCCATTTCGGAGGGCTTTTCCGTTTTGTACATACGTGAGTGAGTCCGGACCTAAGAGGGACTCCCTGAAATTCGTGAAGACAAACTTGCCGTCCTTACCTTCTCACCAGCACACTGTTCTTCTCTTGTTTGCTAATTTTGTTCTCTGGATTTTCCCTCAGATGGCTTTTAATATTTGGCTACCAGCCCAGGATTGGGTCTGAGCAGTGAAGAAATAGAGAATAAAACCTTTTTTGAAAAAGGAAAAACCTATGCTAACTTTTTTCTAGTTTATGTAATTTATTTAAAAGTTGTTTATCCTTTTCTTTGCAAAGGCAAGAACCACAGTATCTCATAATAAGCATGGAGTTTGGAGCCAGTCAGCTTCTCTTGTGCAGTTGTGTGTCTTTAGGCAGGACACCTTATTTGTCTGAGGCTCACTGTCCTCATGTGTAAAATGATAACTCATTTAATTTTCCCTGAGAGGTCCACGCCAACATGTGAAGTGCCTGGAATACGCTACTCTCCTGTTTCCTAGCTCTAGTCCTACCTTTGGTCAAAGGCATTGTAATTCTGACCTCACACTTGTTATCTTAGTAATTTTGTAGTGTACCAATTTTTTTCCTTAAAATTTTTAATGAGAACAAGATGTATAATGTGTTATTTATTTTTATAAATAAATTTTAAGGTACATGTAGAATTTTCCTTTCTAATAGTGACATTAATGACCTTTTTCATTTGTTTCTTGTTTAAAGAATATCAAAGAATATTCCAACAACTAAAGATGTTGAGCCACTGCTTGAAATAGATGGAGATATAAGAAACTTTGAAGTGTTTTTGTCTTCAAGGACCCCAGTTCTTGTGGCTCGAGATGTAAAGACCTTTTTGCCATGTACTGTAAACCTAGACCCCAAGCTACGGGAAATTATTGCAGGTAGGTATTAGCAGTAAATTTAATTTGTCTTATCTGAAGTCTTCAGAATGTTTCCCATTTCTAATTTAGCTATGTGAAGTTTGTCTTGCTCCATGAAAACCCAGGAAATACTGAACCAAGCACTAGGCAGGATAATTAATGAAATTGAGGATTAGGAGTCTTGACATCCTTTAGAGACTTAAGAAAATGTTACTTGTTAAACCACTTTATTACAATGTTTCTTGACCCACACACCTGACTTCTTTGGAATCAGATTCCTTTTAAGATATAGTCACCACTTTAAGATGTCAGTCCATTGTAATTTTTCTGTGACTAATCTTAATAGGGGTCTCTGTCCAAAGGGGCAAACATATTTTTATATTACTTTCTAAATTTTAACTTAAATTTGTGGACTGGAACTTAAGGATAGTGATGTTAAAGGTTTGGAATAATTTCATTTATTCTTGAAGTACCACTATATGCACGTGCGCGCGCGCGCGCGCACACACACACACACACACACACAACCTTTATTGAAACACATTATCTTTTGTGTGGCACTGCTGACCCATTGTTGAGTTTTCTGGGAGTTATGAAGAGAGAGCTTAAAACTACTATATTCTTGAAGGCTGATATCAAAGTGTAGTTTGTGGCTATGGAATTGTTTTGTTCAGAGAAGGATAAATCATATAGTTCGCAAACCCACAGTTTAGTAATCATTATATTAATATTAGACCACTGAATTATTAATAGTAACACTTTATGGATCATAACCATTGTTAGAATAGCACAAATACCTTAGAAAGTCAGAGAAAAATTATTGTTCTGGTAACTGAAGAGAAGAATCCAGATGTTGGTGACTTTTCAAATGGTGACAAAAGCTTTTATGCAGAGTAGTTGGATTTTCTCACTAGAATTTCTGTGGATGAGATTTTATGAGTCAGGATTTCCTGTCTCCTTTAAGTCAGTTGGAATCCTTGGCAAGAGTGAAAAAAAGCATGTTTCTGTCTGATAACCTTTTAAAGGAGGAAGTGATAGCTGGACTAATTACTAAAGTCTTATTTTCTTTTGCCTTCTGGGGTACCATTTAATCTTTTAGATGTTCGCGCTGCGAGAGACCAGATTAATATCGGAGGACTTGCGTATCCTCCACTGCCTTTACATGAAGCTCCACCGAGACCACCGTCAGGCTACAGTCAGCCTCCATCTGTCTGTTCTTCTTCCACTTCCTTCAATGGACCATTTGGAGGTGGGGTCGTGTCACCACAGCCTCATAGCAGCTATTACAGTGGGATGACAGGACCTCAGCATCCGTTCTACAACAGAGTAAGAAAGTGCTAGGAATCTTTCATTCTAAGAATTTGTTTGGGGGAAATATCAGAAGTTTTCTGCTATGGATTCTGTTATTGTTTTGAAACTGCATGTTAGCTTTAAAATAGGAAAAATGTTAAGTTTGAATTTAAAATATGATTTTTTAAATTCTTTTATAATTTTATTATTTATTTATTTTTAAAAAGATTTTGTCAGAGAGATAGAGAGAGCTCAAGTGGGGAGAGTAGCAGGCAGAGGAAGAAGCAGACTTCCCGCTGAGCAGGGAGCCAGACTCGGACTCAATCCCAGGGCCCTGGGATCATGACCTGAGCCGAAGGCAGACGCTTAACCAACTGAGTCACCCAGGCAACCCTCTTTTATAATTTTAATAAAATACTTCAAGCTATAGAAAAGTAGAGAGAATAATGTTGCAACACTACTCATCTTCGTGGTTTGTCAAATCTTGATGTTGTATTTGCTACAGATAACTTTTTTTGTTTTTTGAGTAATGTATTTATATGTTCAAAAAAGGTATAGGGGCGCCTGGCTAGCTCCGTTGGTAGAGCGAGTGACTCTTGCTCTCAGGGTTATGGTCATGAGTTAAAATATATGATTTTTTTAAATCAAAAGAAATTTTAACTTTAATGGGTTCTAGATCTCAATTAAGTCTTGAATGTTAGAGATGCGTTTTGCTTTTATAAGAAAGCGAACTCCACAAGGTCATCAGTGACTATCCTATGCTACAAAGGGAGATGTTTCTCTATTTGTTCATAAACAGATTTCCATTTGTTACATTTGGAAAATTATATTGGCATTTAGAACAATGATTTAACTTAAAACTTAAATTTCCACAGTATTCAGTAAACCTATATTTAATATGTGTTACAGCTTTTAAATGTGAGATTATGATAGAAGATACTGCTTGTAGGATTTAGATGTTATTGCCAAATAATAGCGCTGTAGCCCATTTCTAGAGTTATATTTCAAGTTATCTGCAGCCATGTGTAATTGTTTACTTAGTATAAATATGATCATTTTCTACTGAAAAAGTTGAAAGTACGATGATCGGTGGTATACAGACCCTGTCAACTTTAGTGGCCCGAGCTATACCCATCCTACTGTTCTTAAGCATTAATATTTTCTACAGGGTAATGGAGCATGAGCCCTAGTATTATACTTTCTGGAACTGTACACTAAGGTCCATTACAGTTTCTTATTTTTGTTGTCTCCCTCTTTAGTCTAATTTGAGAAAAACGTAGGGGCTAGTGGTCACAGAAGCCAGTTGCATGCCTAAGGAAATATCCTGTGAGCTAGGAAGAAAGTGAAGTTTAGAATAAATGTGGCAATGAAGGAATTCCAGAATTTAAATTAAATTTTCAGGTTTTGAAAAATGTTGGCCATGTAAGTACAGTTGACCCTTGAACAACACGGGTTTGAGCTCTGTGGGTCCACTTAATACACAGCATTTTTAAAAATAAATACAGTACAGTACTGTAAGTGTGTTTTCTCTTCCTTATGATTTTCTTAATATTTTCTGTTCTAGATCTAGCTTCCTTTATTGTATGAGTACAGCATATAGTACATATAACCTACAAAATATGTGCATTCAGAATGTTTATGTTTTCAGTAAGGCTTCCAGTCGCCAGTAGGCTATTAGTAGTTAAGTTTTGGGGAAGTCAAAAGTTATTTTGACAGATTTTCGAATACACGATGGAGGGGTGGGTGTCAGCACTCCTAACCCCTGTGTTGTTCAAGCTCAACTGTAATTAGGCGCACTATTCATACAGGTCGTATGAATGTTATTCTACTCTTTTATTCAGACAAGGAGAAAAAGGTGGAACAATAACATTTTATAATGTATTCCATCCTTGTAAAATTTAACTGTGTGGTAGACAGTGTTGAAATGCAGGGTTTTATTTAGCAGTCTTAAAATCTGCTATAATTTAACATAAAATGGCTCATTGATCAGTAGATGACAGTTGAGGTTTTGAAACCAAGAAATTTATTTATTTTTTTAATTTACCATACCATATAGGCGGATGTGATGCTTTAATGGCATTTTATCATTTTAAAAACACTTAAAATTTTCTCATGTTTTTAGATCTAGTTATTTTTTTGTTCTAGTTATTTGAGGTTTTTAGTCTGAAAGTTAAAAGGGGAATAATTTTCTTAAATGGCAGCAGTAAAAAGGTAGGGGAAGATGTTATTTCAGTGTAATGAAGCTTAATGAGTTTTAATCTTTATGTTTAGCCCATATAATCTGATATCTCCTGTTTATGTGAAGTTGGCTACAAATAAATGCCATAGTTATAAATCTCACTAAACAATGGATTCCCCATTAAAAAAAATACACCTGATTTAGGAGATACACTCCAGGGAATAGGATATAAAGTAAGCTCTAGGAACTTAGAGTAAAAATATTCCTGGAATCCATGCTAGGGTCTTCTCATATATATTGAGACTTTTTTTGGTCTTGCTTAAGGCTAATCTTTTTTTGTAAAGAATAGTATTCTATTAAGAGTCTATTCTGCCTTTTTTCTTTTTTTTTTTTTTTAAGAGAGAGTGAGTTAATATTTGTAAATCACTTAGGAACTGATACATGGTAAGCCCATAAAAATGTTAAGGAGAAACTCTTGTCACATTGTAAGGTGTAAAACTTTAGTTGCTTAAAAAACCTTATATTAAATCAACAATCTGAAAATTTAAATACTGGGTCTTAAATTTGGGTTTGATATCTTATAGACTATGAGTAAGGCTCTTTTTCTTTTGTTTTGTCACTTGCATTATTAAAAATTTGGAGTTGTATTTTATTGGTTAGTTTCATTTGATAAATCTCATCACATTTTGATTTCTGTAATTGTTTATCCCCTTCTTTTGTTACGTGTTTTTTCCATAGCCATTCTTTGCCCCCTACCTTTACACGCCAAGGTATTACCCTGGCGGCTCCCAACACCTCATCTCACGTCCATCAGTAAAAACGAATTTGCCCAGAGATCAGAGCAATGGCCTAGTAAGTATAAAAAAGGGTAACTAAAGTATTAATCTAATAAGACACATAGACAGCAGTAGAAGTTTGGTTATTTTCTTTCTGAAGCAAAAGAATGCAACTTATTTTATAAATAGTTTTAAGACACATAAGCTATTACTAACATAAAATGTATTTTGTTTTCATTTCTGATGAATGTCTATGGAAGGAAAATGACTAGTGGCCTCAGTGAATAAATGTTGAGTTGTTTACAACGAGAGTTTCTGGCTTATAGTGCAGTGTCTGTTACCAAAACTTTAAAAACTAAACCTTTACATCTGCTAGTTTCTAATATCTTTTTACAAAAACATACATACATGGTATCTGTGTGTGTGTGTATATATATATATATAAAACATATATATATATGTGTGTGTTAGCTCTATGGTATGAAAATTTGAGGATATATTGGAAGAGGATTTTAATCTAATGGCAGAAATTAAATAGGATAAGGGAATTACTGAAATGTATGATTGAATCTAATCCGAAACAAAATACATTGTAAAATATTACGTGTTCCTGATGGTCAGCTTAGTTTAACAATTTAAAAAAAGGAATTTCCTGTTAATATATTTTTATAAATTAGAAGGTCAAAGCTATAGAACTTAAACTGTTATTTCAAATTTAAATGTCACTGAGGGAAACTCTCTTCATGTCCAGGTTTCAGTGTTGTCTCTGATCATGTTAGCATCGTGTTCATTCATCATCCTAGTTTGGCCCCACTCACCTTTCACCCACACTCTTGTTTTGTGTTGTTAGGAGGTTATCAAGGAGGATGCTGCTGAGGGGCTTCCTTCACCCACAGACTCCTTGCGGGTAACGGAGTAGTCTTGTGGTGGGAACACAAGCCTGTCATCGCTTCTGCAGCAGTAACAAGTGTCTTAGCTGTGGTGACAGCAGTCCCCTAACTCTGCATCTGTGTTGTGATGGCCGCTAGTGTAGAGTAGCTGATACTAATCATTGTAGTTCACGGATTAATTTAAAAGCTAATGTTTAACTTTACCCTTTATTTCCTCCTGTTTTTCCCCTTTTTCAATGCCATGGGATGGGCTCTTTTTTTTATTGTCCAAGAAGGACGGGATTTTTCTAGCAGCCATCAGGAGCAGTCAGTTGGTGGTATTTGTTCCTTAGTGTTGAGCAATATTTTCACCTTTGATTATTTTTCTTAAGCCTGCAGTTGGTACTGCACATGTGGAATACTTTGAAAGTATCCAGAATCACCCTTGAGACCACGAAAGGACATTATAAGCTAGATGGTGTAGACCAGAATGCATCTGTAGTGACTCATTCTTAATCTGGGTGTTCACAGTTTATGAAACCTTAGTGTGAATGTAGTACTATTTTTTTTCCTGTATTTTTATTAAAATAAAATTTCAAGATAAACAGAGGTAGTTCATTATGTAAAGGGAATTATTTAAACCTTTTTGGGCCAACACCTTAAAGTGGGTTTCTTAAAAAAATTCTATAGGAAATCACTTCGTATATTTATTGTTCAGGACTTTGTGTTTAATAAGAAACATGTTTAATGTGGTGAGCCTCAAAGTGTTCATTTACTCAATGTGGAATTTAGGAATCCAATTTATATTTTAACTTCTATTGATTTATTTACAGAATGTTACGCCCACGTGGACATGATCAATTTAATCTAGAGTTCTGCTGAAGTGTGGCATGACAGTTAGAATTACTGTGGGGGAAATACTGCATCCTGAGCTTATCCGTAACTTTTAACTTAAAACATGCATTTGGGTAGGCAGTAGTTTTTTAGCTTTAATTTTCTTTGAGTTAATGTTAGTAAGAGAGAGAAAGAGAACCATTTTGGTGTTTTCATTGAGGAGTTGATAATTCTTTTTAAGTCATATTAACATTTCAGCTGAAGTGTTTGAGTGACTCCAATTATCCAGGAATAATAGACACAATAAACCATAATAATTCTGTTTGGGTGTTGGGGGAATCTTTAATGCGTGGATCATTGCCATGATATGCAAGAATGACTTTTAGTTTAGTGAGAGAACCCTTCATACATACATTCATGCATGTAATGTAATTCTCTAAGCTAAAATTCCTTAGCAAACTTTTGATGAAAAGCAGAGACTGTGAAGAATTTGATGGTCTTAACGACACAGATATGCTAAAATAGTAGCTATTCCTATGCTTAAGAATGTGAACAAACACTTGTAATTAAAAGATATCTGTAGTTTCTTTCAGGGACCAGTGAAGGAGCATTAAGCAAATTTAAAACGAGTTTTTGGGGAAGGGGAAATAATGCAATTCTTGTGATGTGTTTAGAAACCCAGTAACAAAGAATAAAGGTGCTCTGCATATATTAGTGCCTTTGTTTAATAAAATAACCATACTATTTGCTCTTCTTTTAATATTAAACGATAGTTTTGTGATTGGCTTAATGAATAATAAGTGCTTACCAAGCTTTCTTTGCTTTTAAGAAATTAACAATGACAATAGCATGTAAAATTTGTTTGGTAGAAGACTAGTAAAAATAGACAACTTAGTTCAAAGCCAAATCAAAAGCAGTGGTGGAAATGTGAAGTACCTGTACATGGGAACATTGTCCAGGATCTTTATAGCTGAACCAACATAGAAGTATTAATATAAAAATTATTTAGCCCTTTGTGGCTCATACGGCTTTACAGTCCTGTAGTAGAAAGTTTTATATTTCTGAGATAACAGGACTATGGGTTGAGTCCATCTGCTTATTCAACTGTCCTCCTGTTTGCAACAGTTGATGACAAGAGCTGCTTATAGATAAGTCAGGAACCACACAAATACTTTTGGATAAATTGTCTAGTCATTACAGACACACAGTAATGAGTAAAAATAACAACACTGCCAATAGAGCAAGACCATAAAGAGTTAACCAACTGTTATTTTCAACATAAATGGTCCCATCTTTTTTTACCACAAGGAATTCTGATAAACCTTTATAAAGTAGATCCTAATGAAACAATTGGTTTTGCTCACATTAAGGAACATTGTAATAATTATAGCTTGTGAAGGCCAGCCAAGGACTTACCAGATAAGTTACAGATATGTCCAAGTGTTTCACAAAAGTGAAGATGTAAAATACAAGACTCTGTGCTAACTTAAAAAAATAATTTTATATAGAGAAAATATATGCCAAATCTTCTAAAACTGGGGAAGAAAATTAACATTGGACCCAAGATATGTTTCCCAGAAGATTAGAGCTAGAAAGGACCAGTAGTTTTCAAACTTTTCAAAGCAGAGAAGTTTCTTTCAGAAATGAAATATTAATCAGAACTGTAGTTCATAAAACCAGTAAAAGCACAAGTGTGGCCCCCACCTTGGACTTGCCTCCCCTCCTAAGGATCCTCAGGGACACTAGGACCTGTGGCCTCGTTCAGCTCCACAGTGCAGACATCATTCAGGACTGGGTCTGTGAGACTTGCCTGAGGTTCACAGGAGGAGAGTGCCAGATGTGGGACTAGAATCCACATGCCCGTGTCGCGGCCCATTCCTCAGACCATGCTGCCTTCCTTGCTCCTGTTAATACTAAGCATGGCTTAGCCAGGTATATGATCTTAAGTCAAATAGACCCTGGTGGTTAGCACTTTGCCTTGGACAAATTACTTAACCTCTTGGATACCCAACTTCATCTGGAAAAAGCAGACCTACCACATAGGTCTGATGTAAGGATTACTCAGCCTTAGGACACTTTAAGGACTTAATTATTATTATTACTACACCAAAGGCCAAATTTCATGGAGCTTTAAAGACTCAGAAACCAAAACTGTTTCATGTTAAATTACCTCTGTCTCAGTAGTAGAACTAGTGTACAAATACACTAGTCAGTGTAGATTAACTCAGCCTTTTATCTGTTGATGCTTCTCTGGCCCCAAAGGTGTCAATTGGTTTGTTTTCTTAGAATTGAGAAGGATTTCTAGGTTATTTGAATGCTTCAAATACTTTAAAATTTTGACAGCTTTCCAGGGAATTTACTTGGTGCCTGTGCTTTCTTTCAGTCCAGGTCCCAATAGAAGTAGTGGCATCCAAGCATTCTGTGACCATGAAGGGGAGGACCCAGTGCGGAGGACTTGTCTCAGGCCAGGGCGCCTCAGTGGCATTTTTTTATGGTCTTTCAGAGTTGCTCTTAGGAGTACGGGAGTCAGTTTTTATTTAAGGTCTGCTGCTCATGGTAGAAACTGTTTTTCACTGAAAAGCAGTCCTTCAAAAGCAGGAATGATATACAGCATCTCTTTCCTTCTTAGCCTTTCTTAAATTATTTAGCACTGAGTTCTACAGGTGCCTGTGTGATCACTCACTGGCTCAACAAATTTATTGAGTGTCTACCAGGCACCATCCTAGTAGGATATCACAGTGAACAAAACTGATGAAACTCCTGCCCACATCGAGCTTGGGGGTTCAAAGGCTACCAAGGGAATTATCCGGGCTCCGAAGTCATTCTTTCTCAGGCTTCTGTGCCTCAGGGTTTACTTGATACCTTTAGGCAGCTGTATTTAGATCACTTACATACCACTTTGAAAAGGCATGAAAAATTGGGATGCCTGGGTGGCTCAGTCAGATAAGCGTCTGCCTTCGGCTCAGGTCATGATCTCAGGGTCCTGGGATCGAGTCCCACATCAGGCTCCCTGCTCAGCGGGAAGTCTGCTTCTCCCTCTGCCTGCCGCTCCCCCTGCTTGTGCTCTCTGTTTGGCAAATAAATAAATAAAATCTTTAAAAAAAATTAAAATTAATTAAAAAAAGGCATGAAAAGAATTAGTACCCAGTGTCATTGTGAAGAACTTCAGAAGTGCAAAGACAGTGTTAATGACAGTATCCTTAATTCTAGTGTGCTGTTAGAGACCAATGAAAATTGCTGAATTAATAAAGGTATTAAAAATGAAGGTCTTGGTTTTCATTAAACTGGATCCAATTGGCAGAGTAACTAAGTAAAAAGTAAAAAAAAAAAAAAAGTAAAGTAAAAAAAGATGGGGCTCAACTGTAGATAATTT